TTTGGTAGGGCTTTCCTGCGAGGACGCTTTTGTCTGTGCATAATTATAAAAAAGACTACTGCCACATTTTCAGTAGGTTGAATTTCTGTCCATCCAAACACTTCGTTGATTATTTTCACTAATAGGCCTTGTTCTGCAATTGTTATTGGTCTATGGGCATCCTTTGCTGATAGATAGGAGTTTAGATAGAAATGTGCGCATTTACTTACCTGAGAGAGGCACATGGGTGCATGCTTACTCAGCGCCAGCTGAAGAATGCATTATTTGAGTTGTGGCTTGCAGTCGACAAAATTCTCTTCGAAATGAGACCAGGCAAGATAATAAAGTACCAAAAATTCGATAGATGCGGATCCCGTAAATTGCAGAAATTATTTTGCATATAGAGGACACACGGGAATGTGTTTGGACAACGAAAAAAATTACATAATTTGTGTGTTCCTGAGACAAATCTGTTCGTCCTAAATTGCCTTAAAAAACGATAATATATAATTGGAACGTTTAATGGATATAATTGTGTTCCCTAATGTAACATTGCTAGTTTCCAGAACAGCGGTGGTTCAATGCAGGGTGTTCAGAAGCGGAACCGCCGCAATTTCAATATACATTTATGGCGTGTCGGTCTCTAACTTGGTTTCTGCTATGGGATAACCGAGAGCTATCGAACTGGATATTAAATGGGTTGTTTTTAGCTAAATTATAGTTTTTGACTTATTGCCGTCTTTGGATAATCCGTTCCACCGCTTAAAAATATAGCGAATCAATGACAGGACTGGAATATCTTTTCACTGATGAAAACTCTAAAAAAGGATTCCCAGCATCTCCTGGAAAGCCAAAGTAAGGAGAAGCCTGTCCACGAAGTGGATTATTCTGTGCCGGGAAACAAAACGAGATATAAAGAGTTGTGCTTTAACGGTGGCATCTATTCTGTGTCACCATGTCATTATTTCCTTTAGAATCCCCCAGGAAGAACACGATAAATAGAACGTAAAATTGGAAGCCACCCGGAGGAGCGTTAATTGTGTACGAAACCCAGAGTTGCTGTCTCGGGTGGCAGTTGTCGCTGGCACTTGGTCCTTGGGCGAAAATGTCGATGACCTGCTTTCCACTTCCCGATATTCACGGCCCCGTTTAAGGGCACGTGGGTACTAAGGTCAGCAGATAGAAAGCAGTGGAGGCCAAGAAAATTAACTCTAGCCCAAACTTGAGATTACTGATGAGAATTCTAAGTTCTGTATGATCCTGCACTCTTTTTCTGACGTTTCTCCTGAGTAAAATTCATGCTTAACTTTTTTATGCTCATGCCAGTTTAATTGACTTAGTTTAGTTTTTCTAAGGGGAGATAGACGAACGCCTTTGAACTCCCTATTTGTTAAAACGTTGCGAAGTTCTTGGACACCTTGATCCAAGAAAAGATGATGTGTCACTTGACGGAGAATAACCTACTTAGTGCAGCTCAGCGTACGTTCTTCGAAATAAAATCTTGTGACACCTGCGAGCTCTCTTTCTTTGATTTTGTGCTACAATCTAGAGACAATGGTTTTGCCCTTTAATCAGTCTATTTTGACTTCACTAAGGCCTTTGATCGTGTTCATCGTAATCTCCTCCTTCTGAAGCTTACATTTTTCGGCATAGGTAGGCAGCTTTTGAATTTAATATTTTCCTACTTGGGTGCGCGTACGCAATGAGCTAAAATTTCCAATTTCATCTCCAACCACACACAGGTAGGGAGTGGAGTTATTCATTGCAGCGTACTTGACCCGCTCTTATTTCCCCTTTTTGTCAACGATGTTCCAGATTGTTTTCAGTGTGCTATACCCTTTATGTACGCTGACGATTTAAAAGTTGCCTATCGTGCTGAAGCTCATAAAAAAGGATCCTCAGGCCTTTGCTCACTGTTGCTGCACATGCGTCTCTCCCTTTCTTGGCACGAATGTTCCGTTATGGTTGTTGATGACGATCATCAGCCTGAACTAAGCATAGACTGTCACGAATTAAATGCGTCAGGAGTTATTAAGGGTCTAGGCATATCCTATTCTAATTTGGGGAAGATATTCTTTGGGAGAAAAAGTAACTTTAATGAGTGAATTTTCGAGTTTGACGTCCCAACTGGTCTTGGGAGTAACAGGAAAAGTGCAATGAACAAGTAAGATTTGCTCGACGTCGAGCACAGACACACTGCTCTGACGAACAAACCTACCGAATGAAGGTCAATAACTTGTTTAATTTGTTTTCCCGAAATGGTTACCCCAGGAGCTTTATGCGCCAATGCATGAAACAAAAACAACACAATATAAAGGACCCAGATAGTTCCTATCAAGCGCCAAAAACAAATGCGTGGCGAGTCCTCCCTTACATAAGGAATGTGTCTGAACTCGTTGAAAGACACTTGCGGCAACACCAAATAAAAGTGGCGCACAAACCGATGGCTACTTTACGCACCTAGCTAGTACATCCTTAAGATAGGCTCAGCTACCTCAATAGGAAAGAAGGCATCTATACGGAGGTTGTGATACTGTATATTGTGGTCAGACAGGAAGATCCATCTCCGTTTGCGTCTAAGAGCACCAAATGGCCGTGAAGAGACGTGACCCTTTGCCCGAAGTGGCTATGGATTACCTCGACACAGGACACGCCTTTGCATGGGATAAAACACGCATCGTAGGCGTTTGCCTCTTCAAAAATGGCCAACAACTCCTTCAAGCCATGCACTTCAACAATTCATCCATCAACCGACACGTCGAGTTGGATAGTATTTATAAGCACGCCAAAGAACGATGGAAAAAACAGGCAGCACGACAAACACTAACTGAGACCACACCTGCCAATCATATATCATCTTCTATGACTCAAGTTTTTCGGCAGTTTTGAAATTGTAGTTGTTCATTGCAATTTTTCTGCTAGTCTCAAGACGAGTTGGGGCGCCAAACTCGAAAATTCCCTCATTAAAATTACCTTTTATCCCCAAAGAACATCTTGTTCAAATTAAAATTTCTTCGGATGCGTGTGTCCCAGTTTATACGGATGAATATCCTATTCTAATAGCCTCAATCAGTCGGAGCACTGTGCCTTGACTGTCTGGAAAGCACACAAAAATACCAGATTTATTCTCAGAAATTATAAGACCAGCAAGGTATGAACCAGCCTTTATAATATGACCTAGTCTCATATACCCTACGCTTCACTTGACAAAGGCATGTAGCGTGATGTTAAGGGCTTAGTAATGACAGCATAGGAGACAAGGCGAAATCGATGAAACCACTCTCATGTGAATACACTTTTACTCCTTTTCGCAACATTATAATATTTGCCGGATAAATGTAATTGCGCAACTATGATAGAAAGCCAGTTTTCAATTTAATACATGCATTTGACTCTCTGATACCAAATATAACCTAACAATTACTCCCAACTTATTGATTATTTGGGCCAGGATACATTAGAATATGAGACAACAAAACCCAACAAGACCGTCCTTCCTTGCTCGCATGAAGAGATAACCAAGTAGGAGGCATTTCAGTCAGTCGGTCAGGCCACCTGTATTGTATAAATAATCACCAAAAGTGCAGCAGATGACGTCATTGATGCAATGTTAAGACCTAAAACCACATGTCCATTTAAAAAAGAACCACGCAAGCTGCGTATATCACAGAGTAGTTTACTGGATTAAGAAACAATTCCCACCTTCCTCGTGCATGCTATGTTTCTAGGTTAATTTTGGAGATGAAGCCACTTGAAATGTTTTGGGCGAAATCAAATTTAATTTAGATTCAAGTAGTGGGCTGGGTCTGAAGGTCTTGAATAATAAAAGACTTCACAAGGAATCCGGTATGGCTATAACATTAAATTACAACGAGACTACTAGCGAAGGAGAAGTAATGATCTTCTACGTCCTATGAAAATTTAAATGCCAACGACAGTATAATAATCAATGCCGATGATGGCCAAGTTTGAAAGCCGTCCAACTTTCCATTTTTTCATTAAGTCTCGCCAATATACGTTCAAATTTCTCTTTTTTGTTAAATTCCGCCAATATAAGGTTGAATTTCCCTCAAGTAGCATCAGTATGTAATAATAGTGCCAGGCTTATATTTTTTTTCAGGACAAGAATTTTTATCGCAAATGTTGATCTCCTCTTCGGATTGGCTTTCTGCCTGTCTCAAGGCTGGATTCTGCGCCTGTAGTCCCATAGTAACGGGATATTTTTGTCATTGGATGTATCCTCACTGTTTACAAACTTACCGGTAGTTGAAACCATAGAGTACCTACGCGACCTTTTACGGGACACAGACTACCTGATGGGGATGACAGTGGAGATGCTTAAAGAACTACTCACGTGCTATACACAACACGTACAGTTTCTCTGCAATGTCTAGTTATAAAGGCATATATACGGAGTGGCGATGGGGTCACCACTTGGACCATTCCTCGCAAATATCTTCATGGGCAAGGTCGAGGAAAGGAATCGAAAAGATATTATCAGTGACCTAAGTGCTTATGGTCAATAGCTGGAGGATATATCTTGCCTGAGAAATAGGACTACTGGTATCGATGTCCTAGGTAAAAAGTTTAATACAGCTTACACCACACTAAAATTTGCTGCAGAAACGGAATCGAACAAATAAATCGCGTTCCTAGACATCCTCTTACACACAAGAGGATAGTTCAAGATAGGGGCCAGATATTCCGAAAGAAAACCCGGATGGGCAATACATTAGCTTTCATAGATTTGTTCCCCTTAAGCTCAAATGAAACTTAGTCCAGGGATTAGCAGCCAGAATACGACGCATCCATTCCCCTAAAACGGTGGAAGTAGAATTGCAACAGATGCAAAACATACACCGCGAAAACGGATATCCCGAAATGCACATGTTGAAATGTGCGTCACATATTGTTGTAACATCCAGGGGAACAATCTCACCTCCATCTCACCTGCGTCGCTACTGTTATAACGACGACCCGTTGAGGTGTAACGGTGACGTCTGACGTATGTCACCGTTGAATTACGCCCTGTCAAAATCCCCAAGGAAGAACACAATAAGAGGGGCATAATTCTGGAATCCACCCGAAGGAGGGTTTATTTGTACAAAATCCGGAGGAGCTGTCTCGGGTGGCTGTGCCACTGGGTTGATCTCCAGCGTCTTTGCTGTCAGGTGTGGCTGCAACTCTTTGTGTCCCGCCTCGGGACGAGCCCTGCATTGGGAGTAGACTGGCATCGCCACGCGTCCGCTGTTGCAACCCTCTTTCAGGGGTGGCAGTGGCTTGTAAGAGACTGTCTGCGCGTTCTCTTGTGGCCTGGTTGG